TTTTTTTGTGATTTGAAGGTACGGGGGTGTAGAAGGGCCCCGCACAACCCCCCTCTTGCCCTCATCCCGACCGAACCGCCGCCCCCGCAGGCATAAGCCCCGTGAACGGCCCCCGTGAACGGCCGTTCACGGGATTTAGGCCCGGTGACCGGCCGGTCACGGGTTGGTGACCGGTGTCGGTCACGTTCACGGGGCAGGCACTGCTTGGAGGATAATCACGATATCACTCAAATCATCCTACTTGACTAAGTCGGAATCTACCTCTAAGCTAGTGCCCAAAGCAAGGCAGACTAATGGCTGAATCTCCCCTATTAAGGGTGGATTGCCAGAGTCGCCACCTGTCAAAATATAATCTATCTCCTCTAAATCAAGAAAATTTCGCCAGCGCTTCCCGTAAGAAAAGTGTCTTTTCAGAATTTATATCAGCCCAAATATGGAAACAGAAATAGTCTTTGACTTTCGAAAGTCCAATTTTGTCTAATTCCCTGAATTAGCAAAAATTTGGGCAGCACTTCCTTTAGAAGAGGAGACTTTTCAGATTTTTACTAAGTCATATATAAACTTTATACAAGTTGAACTTTGACAAGTCAAAATTTGATTAACTCCTTGGATTTGCAGAAATTTCGGCAGCGCTTCCCATAGAGAAAGTAGCTTACCATAATTTATACAAACCCAAGTACAATAAAAGATCCCAGAAAATGCAAGAATCGATCTAAGTAAAAAAAACTTAGTCCAGAAAATGCAGGAATCGACCTAACTCCTATCGTTTTAGCACGAGGCGAGCCTCTAAAGCAACTACCTGTCAATCTGACACTCAAACCAAGTAGTAGCCCCACTCAGCCTCATGCAGGCCAACCCACAAAGGTAAGTACTCTTGCCACCCCAAGTCAACTTTGCAAACAATAGTTCGTAATCTCCCAATGCTTTATTCCCTTATACCCAGCTTACATATGGCATAAAGTTAAGCCGTCCAATCTTATGGAACTTGCCTGACTCAGCCATTGAATATGCACGAACAGGTTGCACAACTACTTTTTTCTTCCTTTTGGGCATATGACTAGGCCGTTCATCTTAGAACAAGGCTTAGTCGGCCAGAATTGTTTAATATCCAACTTATATATATATCTTCGAACTTAATGTTCAAACATTGGGCATAGGACTGAGCCGTTCATCTTAGAACAAGACCTAGCCTGCCCAGGGTTACCTTCAATTATACTCTTAGTTATACTCTCTTCATTTTATGATAAGTTATAGCCTGGCCATCCAATCTTATGGAATCCATGCCTGACTAGCCTGTTCATAAATAGGATAGTATAAAATATAGCAAAAATCATAATATTTGGGTTCCAACATGTGCGAGGCTTTGGGCCAGACCGTCCAATCTTATGGAACATATCAGGTCCTCTGCTAGGTTCGTTGCTCTCTGATCCACTGTGTACGGCATGAGTCCAGGGCCGTCCAATCTTATGGACATGCCCTGCCCTCAGCAAGAATTATCCCCTCAGAATAAAACAAAGAGGGGGCGGCTGAGCCGTCCAATCTTATGGACTTGCTCAGACCTCCTCGATCAAAAACAAAAGAAACAAAACAAACCCCAATCAAACATGACAACCAAACCCTCCAATCTTATGGTACAGGTTTGACCCCTAAAAAGTCAGCCACAGTCAAACCCTCACAATTCAGAGCAATCAGGTCGTCCAATCTTAGAGAACTGGTCTGACTCTCCACGCAATTCATAAATAAACACAGCGGTCAGGCCGTCCAATCTTATGGAACTGGTCTGACCCCATAGGACCCATTCATGCTCAAGCAAAACCACCTTTCACCCACCCTTCCCCCAGATGCAACCCCTTGTGTTCACAATCTGCCTTCAGACAATCAACTAATTGAGACTGCGATTGCACACACATTTCTTTATTTAGTCTGACTTGTGTCCTGCCAGTCAATCCAAAGTCAAGATAGGGGTGCATACAGTATACTCAGTCAAACATAGGGGGATGTACAAATAGGGGCTATAACAGGGTGTATAGTGAGAAGGGAATGGTTACCTCTCAGTTCCCTGCCTCCAGAGCCTCGCCTAAGCTCCGGCAGAGCTCCCGCAATCGGTGGGGCAACCTCCCACAAAGGCCTTGGCGCGGATTACCGGTTGCAATCCCACCTGCCGCCTTCCTCTCAGAACCAATGGACTAGACTTAGAATGAGGAAGGCAAAAATAGAGGGCATTAGACTCGCAGGAGAGGGCCTTGATTCCTTGATTCGCCTGAGGGTCCCGCAATGGTAGCCATTCCTGCCCAGCTTGGTCAATCCATAGTCAACCCACCGTAATCAGAGCCCCCTGACGGCCCTCCAAATCGCAGCAATCCCCCGAGCAGCAGCAATTCCAACAGTAATCCCTAGCTACAATCCAAAGTGTTGCGCCACCTAACAACCCGGTGACACACAACAAGGGCGCAGTGTATACAACGGTACGCAGCGACTCACAACGCCTGGCCAGCAATGTACAGTGGCATCCCACATGAGTCTAACCGCGTTCGCTCAACCGCGAACAGACGAAGTGTCGAGGCTAGCAATGGAACGCATCGGTAACACCCCCGCCACAATACTCCGTATAGGCACCGCCTGGCCGCGCCGCAAACTCCGGACGACTGGCAACTCACGAAACAGTCGGCCGCCCACTGAAAACCTTCTTGTAGACTGTCGCAGCTTGCTACGTACTGCACCCACAGACCACACTGCCGCCCTTGCTGCCTCATTCCGCCTCCTGCAGGTGAGAGCCCGCTCCCTCCTCACCTCCTTCTCATCTTTGTTCTACTCCGTTCCTCTTTCTTCCAATCTTCTTCCTCGTTTACGGCCTCTCACGTCCCCTCTTCCTGAATGTACCCAGTTACTCGTTATGCCAGTTTGCTCCGATTTGGAGGAACAACAGCTATGAGTGGGAAGCAAGTCACCGGCGCAACGTGCCCCGTAATGGGTTTGACCTCGACTACCAGCCTGCCCCCAAAGATAGCAACCGTGATGCACCGATGGAGAGTACGTCCCGCCCCGACTAGGTAAGCCTCCTGCCTCACGGGTTGCCTCGCTTTACCTTCGTCAATAGCATGAGACAGATGGAATGTACCTCCCGTAAAAATACGGGAAGGTACATCTCGATTTCCAAGCCCCTTCCTTGGGCGCAGCCCTCAGCGACGAGCCCGACCGAATCCGGTCAGATGCAGCGCACCTAAGCGCAGGGCTGCGCCTGGCCCCGGCCTGCAAGGTAGGCTCTTTGTCTTAAGCAGGGGAACGATATACCGGCACCCTCGCTCAGGTGTGAGCGACTCGCATGGACGATGGAAGCGACCACCGTGAGCAACAAGACAAACAACCTTGATGGCAACGATGGGCGGCCTACCAGAGCGCAAAAAAACAAAAAAAGAAAAAATGAGAAGGAATCCTCCGCAAAAACGTAGGGGCACACACTACTTTCCCGACCCTGCACGCAGAGGAAGGGCCTGTCGTTGCTTCTATCGTCAAAACGAGCAAAATCGGAATGAGTCTTTCGCAACAATACGGGTAGGTTCATTCCTTTTTCATAACCTCTCCCCCTTCACGCAAGCTCTAAGCTATATACCGCCAAAACTATTGTGCCACTGCCAATTCTAACCGCACAGTCTAACTCGCCCTATCAAAGACCCCTGGATTCGCCTTTTATCCCTCTGAAATCCATTCGGAATTGCGAACGATACGTGTTTCCCACGTTACTCCTTCCTTGCCTCCACCATCGCCCACGCACTAACGTCCTTTCTAACTTCCCGTTCTACTAACTTATCACCGAAACTAACACCATTATCACGTTCGCCATCCCCAAAAACCCCGGAATCCCTTCTTCACTTGACCATCTTAATCTCAGATTGCTTGCGCTGCCCGTTCTGTGTTGCGCCATGCCTCGCTCCTCCGCCATCCCCAAAAACCCCGTACACGTATCTGGCGCAATTTCGCGCCGAGTTCGTCTCCTTTATTCCCCTCACGCTGCTACTTTCAGGCACTCGCTCGGCTCCACTACCTGGCGTCG